CTCCACAACTGAACCAATTAATACAAAAGAGCAAAAGCAAGTGAATATTATTTCATGAAAGAATGGAATAACGTGAGGCATACGGCTTCGCTTGCAGTGAGGCTCAGCCAGCCCTCGCGCCGAGCGCTGTTAAGGCACCTTCCGTCTCACAATGTTCAAAATCCCTCTAAGCCCTTGAACTTAATAATTCATTTGTTTCTCCTATTTTGTATCACAGCACCACAATGAAAAACAGCGAGTTCGCGTCGCCGATCACCGCAGGGCAATGTAAAAGCACGTCAAGTACTCGAGCCCTGTCTCACGCTGTCAGAGTCGTTGTCCTGATTTGCTCCTTTCTTACTGCGGACCTTTGGAATATGACCAGCAAAACTATGGAAGTAGATGAGCAAGCTCGTCTCTTAAAAAGCCTATTGTTCATGGGTGGTTCGCACTGCTTCGTGTTCTGCAGTGTAGAGGCCGAAGCGCTTCGAAGTTTCGATCATCGAGCGGCACTTGAAACTACGACATTCAAATGAATCAAATTCAGTGTAGCGCATTAACAGCGCCATTGCCTTTTAATAAGCTAGCATTGGCGTTACCTGCTCCTAGAGTGCCCCGTACGCACTTCTTCTGGTAGTGACCAGCGCATGTCCGGTGCACTCTGCTTACTTCAGCTCCTCACAATTTCACAATAATACTTGAGAGAGACTTCTCAAAAGGCCTTCCTGTTGTGCAAAGTCTAGGCTCGTCTCACTTTCACATATCTCTGTATGCTTGATTACGGGCCTCTGTGGCAGCAGCGACAGGAGACCGCATTCATTGTTGCTGTCCCGCTGCACTTTCGAACGTAAACGCTGCAGTTGCCTGCCTGCAGTCTTGTGGTGGCCCGCTGGGCTGTTGTGTTCGGAAGCGCTGTACGCTGTGGCTCGCCGACCCATCACAGTAAGGGTTGCGTCTCTTTGTTTGCACTTGCAGATGCAGCTAAGCATGCACTACAAAACAGAAGTTCTTGTTGCGTATGCAACTGCAAAGACAAAGGCTTGTCTCCTCCACAAATAAAAGCTTTTCACGCTACGTACATACGTGAATTTGAAGGGTAAAGTTCCTGCCCGGGCCACCGCGGCCTAGCGCAGGTTCACAGCCCGTGAACCGTGGCTATACACACGTGCAGCCAGAAAAGGGCGCATACAGGGCTTCTTTCAAAATTTGCCATATCACAAAAGCGGAGATTGCCAGTAAAATTTACCACAGGGCCTTCGCAGCACAGAGCCATAAATAGCACGACACTTGCCTTTACAACGTGCTGTTCCCTACAGCCGTAGAAGGTGCAGCTGTTTCCCACAAAAACTGCCTGGAAAGTACAACTGTCCATGGGGTCTGTTCGAACTAAAAGATCGCTTGCTGGAAAGAACGCAAGGAGTCACCGTTGCGGGCAGAAGGCACTTTTAATGTGACAATGTGTTCGAAGTGCAGTTGTCTACGACACGAAGAGAACGACAAGCGGCATAACAGTAGCATTAGCCACTGCAGATGCTGGTGCGCCTAACAGGTTCTATCAGCAGGGCAGTGTCTCAAGCAAGCCACCACTGTCTAATCTGGAAGCAAGGTGAGTGCAGTTTTATGCACATTACCGTCTAGGAAAGGGCCCCCCGGCTTCCTCGAATCTAACGCTTTCAATGCGGTAGTACCTACAAGGACTTGTTTATTCAGCTTCTGCTGTGCATAGCTTCCTGCTGCAACTACGGTAGTGAAGCGAACCCGTGCTGTGCGCCCTCCATCCATTGCTGCTGCTCTCAGCAGAAAAGCAAGTGCACCACACTAGAAGCTGTGCGATAGAAATTTCCGGCCCATGTTGGTGTAGCGAAGCTGCTGCTTAACTGGCTCTGCTGCAGTGCTGCGGCACCAAACACACGAAGCTTGCATGAGATGGTTGTTCATAGTTGCGGCCACGAATGCTCTCGCTGCTGTTACTGCAGCCTTCACTCCTAAACAGGATGCTTGTCATCTCCATGGAAACACCTCTGTAGCTTGTTGCGCACGCGACCAGTGCCAGCGGCTTCCCCCCAAGTAGCCAATAGCAGACGATGCTGCTTGTTGCTCCTGTCAGCTGGCATTAGCGACCGGCTAGTAATTCCTTCAGTAGGCCTCATTCAGCCAAGTTGGCACACTACATTGCAGTGCTGCATCCATTTCAGGACCAGCTCCGTCGCCTGACCCTCTAGATCTATGACTGTCTCCCACCCATTCCCAGCATCACTGTGTCGCACTCTTGCCACCCGGCATTAGACCAGAAACCGCACGCAATGAAGCGTACGCCATAAACTCGGACTCACGCTAAATGCTCAGGATACATATAACAGCTTTGGATACTCCAGCGGTTCCCTTGTAGGAGCAGCTGCTGCTTCAACAAGCTGCATTGGCAACTGCTTTTAGCATATAGCCAGCAGCACCGGCAAACGGTGTAGCTCCTAACTACATTTACCACCCAAACCCCGTGAGCATCTCTGTCTGCCATTCCTGTTCTGTGGTAATAAAGACTGACAGAGGCCAAGGTCTGCAAGGTCAGGCAACTAGCCAAAGGAGGGCGGGCTTCAGAAAGGGGGATGGCTATTCATGAGCGGCCCCTGACAAGCCTGCTAGCAAACCACTAGCTGATTATTTGGCTAGCTGTCTATGTCGCCGAGGAGGAGCCCTTGCATCTGGCGCAGGCCCGTCCCCACCTGCCGCTAACACCCTTGCTAGCTAGCTACGTAGCTAGCTGGATCGCCAGCCCGCTAGCTCGCTGGGCCGTCCCGCAGCCTCCCTGACACGTGCGCAGTGCTTCGGGGACGCACACCCCGCCCACAGATCGAAAGCCCGGAGCCCCCAAAACGTATACACAGCTAATCGCCGCGCTGCAGCAGCGCCGACCCATGTCCTCTACAGCCACTTGCAGGCTCCGGGCCTGGGCGCCGGCTTTAAAGCTCATCGTGGGAGACTGCGTCCTCATCCCCGGGCCCCACACTGATGCCCTTGAAGGGGAGGTCCACCCCCTCGTACTCTTCGGGGAAGCGCAGGAGCTCGCCGTTGTCTGTGAGCATGGAAACCGAGAAAGTTTCGAACTTGTCAGTCCACTGGTCCTTGGTGATCTTCCCGTCCTCCATCTCTGCAGCCAAAGACTCCATCATCTGCTGCAGGTCGTGGGCGTGCGGGTCTTCTATGACTGCGCGCAGCTCCGCCTCGTCGATTTTGCCGTCGCCGTTTTTGTCGTAAGTCGAGAACTCGCGAGTCAGTTCTTCGCGCTCGGGGTCAGTCAGGGTACCTGTCGACAGCAACAGCCACAGCACTCCTGCTGCTGTAGCAGCAAATCCTGCGGCTGCAGCATCCTGCTGCTGCTGGCTGGCACTGCACTGCGCAACGCTAGACGCCAGTTAGAGGGTTTCGAAGCGGCCTAGGTTTTGGGACTTACCGCCTTCGTTGAGGAGGAACTCGTCAAGGGAGATGTTTCCGTCCTTGTCCTTATCTTGAGCCTAAACACGTGCCACAAAACACGCCCAGCGTTTCGAAAAACAAACAAGTGAAGACCCAGTCTAGATTCTGCATCCTAAGCCGGAGATGCTCACTGCCATGATCTCGTCCACTTCTATTTGCATCAGCGTCGCGTCCTTGCCTGGATCCATGAGAACTGTCACTTCCTCAAGGCTGAGGCTCCCGCCTGCGCGCAAACGCCACTTCCTTACCCTTAACCTTCAAACATACCCCAAGCGCAAGGCCCCAGCGATGCAGAGCCAACAGGGGCAGCCTCCACACGCACTCTTGTCCTTGTCAACGGCTGCAAATCTCTTCTGAACCTCCTCCTGCGGCGCAGCACAGAGAAGCCTGTCCCCCTTGGGCCTGAGAGTTTTCCCCGTGGGTCCTAATCCTTAACCGCAAGCCTAAACCCCAGGCCCCAAGGATGAATGCATTCAATACCTTGTGAGCCTCCTGGTTGGCCGCGTCTGCGCCGTCAGTGTAGGTGACCTCAAGTTCCTCCAGTGTAATCTTCCCATCTCCGTCTTTGTCTATCGAAATGAATTCCTGCCGAACCTGGTGTTTGTGCATGGCGTCCTTGAGGCGGGTGCTCCACTGTTGCGCTTCTTCCGTGGTGATGACGCCGTCACCGTTTGTGTCTATGAACGAAAAGATTGTCTCCATTCTGTCTTTAATTTCACTGAGGCTTAACTGCATTAGTTCGGCCAATTTTTCCCCAGAGAGCTTAGGAGGGGGCTCAGGTGAACCGACAGCTGCAGATGTAGCAAATGCCACAGCCGTGGCGGTGGCCGCCAGAGAGGCTGCAGTTACCTTCATTTTCGGACAAACACAAGAGAGAAGCAGCGCAAATAAGCCTAATTATATTGATCAGAAACAGAGCTGACAAAAACAAAGCAGAAATGAAAGATATGTGTGGCAAACGAACCCTTGGCACGCGAGACAGCGCACAGAGCGCAGAGCTTATGCGTGGACGGCTGAAGCCCCGGCTCAGACACCAAACCCTAAATGCTAGAGCCTAAACCCTAATCGCTAAGCAATAAACAACACACTCAGCCGCGGAACATGAATTTATTAAGACAATGTCTGCGGCAAGTCCACTAGAAACCGTCCTTATCCCGTCGCAGGCCACCACCCTCGTGTACTCGCCCGTCATTATCTCTTTGCGTGTTTGTTTGTCCTACCTCTCTTGGGAAGCGCCAACGGGCCATTTCCAAGCCAGAGAATATACACCCTAGCTCTCGAGCTGTGGAGTCCTCGCTGGTGTTGAGGCTGGGCGTCTGGCGATGCGTCTCGGGTCTCTGTAAGACACTGAATGCTCAACCCAAAGTCTCGCTAAACCCTAAACCCTAAACCCTAAGCACCAAGTGGCCGCGGAGCTCCGTACTAGCCCCGACTCGCCGGACGCCGCGGCTGCAGGCTTCCCCACAAGGTTGCCCTCAGCAGCGAGAGCCTCGCAGCGAGCGTGAGGGTTTGAAATCAAGGATAAAGTGTCTAGGGTTTAGGGTTTAGGGATGCATGCGCATGCGCTGCCATTGGGGCAGAGGGCGCAGCTGCTGAGGCCGCGAACCCTCTGGGAGCGATTTGACCTGTGGCCGTTTGCTGCTGCTGCGCTGCTGCTGCTGGCTCTCGCCATAGGCGAGCATGAGGCAGCGGACGCTGCGGCTGCAGCCGCAGCAGCTGGCGCTGCTGCAGCTTCAGCATCAGCGGCTTCGGCTGCAGCAGGAAGGGATGCTGCGGCAGCAGCACCGCCGGCCTACGCAGCTGTAGGTGTCACTGCAAGCTCGACTGAAGGTCTCTCAGCAGGCCCGACAGAAGCTGCAGCAACTGCAGCAGCAGCAGCAGTAACAGCAGTTCCTGCTGTAACGACCGCCGCAGACGAGAGCTCAGCAGCAACGGTGGAGGAGGCGGAGGCGCTGCCATGGCTGCTACAGACGCCCTGCTCGGTTTTGCTGCTGTTGCTGCTGCTGTCATGGGGTGGCTTGATGCTCGCCAGCAGCTGGGTGCTGCGGCTGAGGCGCTGGAAGGACTACCGGACGTGCAACTCGGCAGCAGCAGAAGCGACGGCAAGGGGAGCACCAGCAGCAGCAACTCACGTCTTCGTTGCTGCTGGAGCAGAAGACAAGGAGGACTTTCTTGTTCCCATCGAGCTGCTGCAGTGCACAGCAGCAGCAGCTGCGGCTCCTGACGTAACGAAGAAGCCCCAGAACTCCAAAGATGCCCACAGGCACCACCACCAGCAGCAACAGCAGCAGCAGAAGCAGCAGCAGCAGAAGCAGCAGCAGCAGCAGCAGCACTTTGAGCTGCTCATAACCCTCAGGGGTCAGCGCTACTTGTACGACTTGAATAAAGCAGATTTCTTCCCAGTGGAGGCCCCGCAGCATTTGCCGCTGCGCAGCTACTTGGACTGGACAGGGCTGATAGAGTTCCCTGCAGCAGCAGCAGCAGCAGCAGCAGCGGGAACAGCAGCGGCAGCAGCAGCAAGGGGGAACATGGATAAGTTCGCAAGGGACGCCAGGCTGCGGTTTGGCCGCAATTGCTGCGAAGTGCCAGTGCCTTCATTTGGCGTGCTGCTGCAGCAGCAGCTGCTGTCGCCCTTCTTCTGCTTCCAAACAGCTTGCGTTTGTCTTTGGCTGTTGGATGGCTACTGGGGCTTCCCTCTATTGACCCTCGTCTTGCTAATCATTGTCGAGGCTCAGGTAAGCTCCAGAGGCTGCTGTTGCTGGTGCTGCTGCTGGTCGCTGCAGGCTGCTATTGCTGCTGTTTGCTTCCCCAAGAGATGTAGTCAGTTTCACTGCAGATGCTGCGTTCGAATCTGTGACAGCGTGAATGCGAGGAAAGAATTTGTTGCTGCTGCTGATGTTTGCGCTGTTGTTGCAGACTGCGCTGAAGCACCGGAGGGAGCTGCTGAGAGTGCGGAAGATGCAGCAGGTGCCTCCTCGGGTGTACGTACACCGCAAGCTCTGCAGCAACAACAGCAGCACTTGCTCGTGGAAGCTCGTTGACGCAGCAGAGCTTCTGCCTGGTGACGTTTTCTGCTGGGACCTTAGCAGCAGCAGCAGCAGCAGCAGCAGCAGCGGTTCCATCCTGGCCCCAGTGGACGGTTTGCTGCTGCAGGGAACTGCTGTGATCGACGAGTCTCTGCTGACGGGTAAGATCCGAAAGCTCTAAACTTGAAGTAAAGCTGCTGCAATCTTGTCCTATCAGGGCTTGCTGTCGTTGTCGGACAAGGGTACGGCCTGCATGCGTGTGCTGCTGCTGCTGCTGCTATGGTGCCTCCTGTTGCTGCTGCTTCAGGAGAGGCCATTCCCCAAGCAAAGGCGGCTTTGTCGCTGACTGCTGCAGAAGTCGGGGCCCTTGATGAGGCCCTTGACCTCCAGGGCAAACACAAACAGTTTGCCTTCTTTGCAGGTGAGAGCCCAAAAGTCAAGTCCCAGCTCTCAAGATCCAGCAGCTTCTTGAAGTGCAGTGGCGGCTTCCGCTGCGGCTGCTGCGGATCCCAGCAGCAACCTCTGTGGGCGGCTGCAGCTCTCGCTTGCCTGGAAATGGGTCGCCGGCGATGGCTAGCTGTGGCCTAGCTGCGGCCAGCTGTGGCTGGCTGTGGCTAGCTGTGGCGGGCTGCAGCTAGCCAAGGTCAGCAAAGCTGATTGTGTGAGTCTTTGCAGGCACTTCTTTGTTGGCTGCGGACAATGACAAGGGTCCGGGTCTTCAATGCTGCAGACCTCCAAGCGCCTCCCCCGTAGCCTTAGCAGTTCGCACGGGATTTGCCACCACCGAAGTAGGGCTTAGCGTTTAGGGTTTAGGCTGCAGGGCTTGTTGGGTGCCTAGGGTTTAGGGTTTGACACGCAGGCTTCAAGTGAATGAATGCTATTGATTTTAGTCTCTGTGGGTTGGAACTATGTGATTTAAAGTCTGCAAGGCCATGGGCGTGGAGCAGGCTTTATGTTGCTGCTTTTGCTGCCGTTTCCGCTGCTGCTGCTTCAGGGACAGTTGCTGCGAACTTTAATGGAAACAACAAATGCGCCGCATTCGAGCAGCAGAGAAGGCTGGGTGTTTCTATTTGTGCTGCTGTTGCTGGCGCTGTGCTGCTGCTGCTACGTGACGTTCACGTCTCCTGTCTCCCCCTTTTCTTACTTTTACACTACGCTGCCTCCACTGCTGCAGTTCCTGCAGCCGTCATCTGAGCAGCTGCAGCAGGAGCTGCAGCAGCTGCAGCTGCAGCCACAGCAATACCGCAAACCCTCCATGTGGCGGCTGCTGTTGTCCCTCTCTCACATCATCACTTCTGTTGTTCCCCCGGAGTTCCCGATGCTCCTTTCTCTCACTCTCACTGTCGGCGTTCTACATCTTGCCAGGGCTGGCATCTGCTGCACAGACACGCTGAAGTATGCCGCTGTTGCTGCTGTAGCGCTTTGCTGGCGCTGCAGTTGGCCTGTCCTTGCTGTGCGCTCTATAGCTTTTCCTGGCCGCCGGGATGCACGAAGTTGGTGTTCTGTTGGGGCTGCCGCTGTGGGTCGCTAGTTGCTGCTGCTAGGGAAGCGTTCTGCTGTTGCTGCTGCTGCAGGCTTGCTGCGGCTGGTGGAGTGCGCGTAACTGCCTTCGACAAGACGGGCACTCTCACTTACCACAACTATGACTTGCTGGGCGTCTTCGGTGTTGGCAACAAACCCCAAGACCACGACAAAGAGCAGAAGCAGCAGCAGCAGCAGCAGCAGCAAGCAAAAAAAGGCTCGCCAGTCGCAGCGAACGCAGGCACAAGCCACAGGCCTTCGCTGCTGCCGAGACAGGCACGCCCCACCAACAGCAGCAGCAACACCCATGGCAGCAGAAATGGCTGCTGCTCTGTCTGCTGTAGTATTCTGCAGCTTAGGGTTAGGAGCATAATGCGCAATACTTTATATATTCAGTGTAACTTTATGTGTACTGTGATGAGAGAATGAGGCTTCCCTGTGTGCGAAGGATTAATCTGGTGTCTGGCCAGCTTCGTGAGACGCGCGCGCTTTTGTTGCTGCTGCTGTGCTGCTGCTGCTGCTGCAGGAGCTGCCGCTGCTGACAGCTCTTGCTGTTGGCTCCTGCCACTGTCTCAGGCCCGACAGCAAAGGAGTGCTCGTAGGGGACCCTCTGGAGCTTGCTGCCTTCAAGAGCTTCGGCTGGCAGCTCACTTCCCAGAGAACCGCCATGCTAGCAAGTTAGTGCTGCTGCCGTATTAACTGCTGCTGCTGCGGCGGCCGTTAAGTTGCTGTTGCTGCCGTTGTAGTTGTTGTTGCAGTTCTTGCTGTTGTGGCTGCATGCGTTGCTGGCATTTCTGGCTTAGCGTTCAGTGCTTGATGTTGCAGCGAGGAACTTGTTTAGCTCATATGGTGCCTTGCTGTTATTGTTGCTGCTGCTGCTGCTGCAGATGAGCGAGGAGAGGCTTCTGCTCGGGTGTCTCTTCTGCTGTGCTTCCCCTTCACTTCTACTCTCCAGCGGACT